GAACACTGGAAAAGTAAGATACACTTAGGTAATGGGTCTTATACAGTATGTTTGTCTTTTATCTGTTGGTAGATTCTGATTTCCTATTTTTGGAATCTACAGGATAAGGACATCTACCCTTGTTCAGTGATGCACTGTTTAGAATAGGAACATAGGTTTCCATTCATTTAACATCAGTTTTTAGAGAGCAGCTTAATCCTGGGCAGGATTCCTGCTTGATAAGATAAGATTTGTAAAGCAACAAAGAAATCAGTCTTCAGTCATTAATGTTTATGTTGAATTAAACATAATTTAATTCACAAGGTGAATTAAAGGTCATAAAGGTTAAAGTGGCCTGATTACCAGCTAACTAATGTATGGATATCAGTGTCAGACTCTCAGGTACTCCAATTCAAGTTCGATACTTCATATCTGCTACATTATATGCCATGCTTGGTTATGCATTGTATAGATGTGTTCTCCACCTCAATGAGGTTTGTTTTAAACTGGCAGGCCTTTGTACGTATGGATGTCACTGTAAATTCTATGTCCTCTTACAAGCTTGTTCGTATCATGCTCCTGGTGAAGAGACTCCAGTTTGTGCTGGCTCTTCTCAAGCTCCTCTGACAGGCTGCTCAGCTGCCTGACTAGTGCCTCATTGGTGACTGCCAGGGTCTCATGCCTTCTGATAATAGGCATAACCAGAGAGTCTGCCCCATACTCCAGGTAATCTGCACATAATAATGGGTTACAATTAAAAAACAAAGCATATCAGCTCTCTATCCATTCAACACTTCAGGTGTCCATTGATTAGGCAAATGTTGACAGAAATGGAACAGTGCTTCTCTATAGTGATATATCAATCATACATTTCTACCACTATCTAAATATGAAATGGGGATTTTAATTTTAATTCTCCTTTTTAATGAACTGTTGGCACAGTGTGAAGATGAGCTCGGTTTTTACTGGAAAAACCAATAAGAATGGTGTATTGAAAGGTGTGTCCTGTATAGTAATACAGGCAACCATTAAATTATTTGACAGAGGATATTCACACTTACTTTCTGGCAGGTGATCAATAATCTTCAGCAAATAATCTTCATGCATTTTGTTTTTCTCGACCTTCTTCTTTAAATGCTGTTGTCTATAATATTTCACAAAATATATTTTTAAACACAAAAAAGGAAAATAAATAGCTATAATGATAAATCTTAAAATACTGCTAAAGGAACATAAGCTTAATAATTAACACATGACATACAGTACAATTTAATCATTATTAATTACATAATCTTTGTAATGTTTAGTTTTTGTTTAATATGTTGGATTTTTTATTTGATTTTATCTGCATTTGAATTAACCTTGTACTGACGCCAACACGATTCTTTTCATTTTTATGTCAAAATTTAATATTGAATACGAATACTAATTTTTGTGGTACATTCACTATAAAGTTGGTTTCAGAAATTTCCTATATTCCATTTCGCTTTGAGTTAAATTAAAAGTAATGGATTCGAATACAAATGTTTCACGGTGTTTCTGCAGCCCGTTAGTAACGTTAGCATCATCTTTACACAGTGTCTTTCCAGTTAGCAGTACAGAACCATTCAAACCTGACTTGAAGCTTCTCAAGTTCCTGTAGGAGATCCTGTATCTCTTTCTCCTTCAGTTCATTGTGTTTCCTCTCCATCTGGTAATTTCTGAGGGCTCTCCGCCGTTTGCTCTCATTGTCTTGGAGGAACTTGTCAAATTTCAAAGCTCTCTCTTTTGTCTGTGAGTAGAAAATACCAAAAATGAAAAATAAACAAATCCACAAAATAAGTACATCCACTGTGATAATTATTCACTTAGCTTGTCTCTTTCTGATCACCACTGACTACTCTATTTGTCAGTATTTTGTTGTTGCTGTTGCTGCTGCTAAGGTCTTGTTTATGTTTTATGGTCTTGAAAACCTGTAATTTGAAACATTTTGAATCTAACCAGTAACGAGTTAATGTGGTGGCATTCCTAGGAAACCTTCGCAAACAAAATTCTGACTGATGTGAAATAATAATTTTATTATTACTAAGCATTATCCTTGTGGCAAACTATCCATCCATTTTCTAATTTTCTTTTGTCTCAGTCTCAGCTTTCTGCTGCCTCAAACTTAACCAGACTTTTCAGAGTGAAAGAGCTAATGCCTCCATTTACCAATTTTTGTTTCAGCTCAAACTCAGCTTTCCGCCGTGCCAAGGCCTCCATGCGATTGGCAAACTCCTGGCGTTTGGTCGTTAGCTGCCTGTTGATGTCTTCCACTTCCACCTCTTTTTTCAGAACTAGGGTTTTCTGGAGGGTGTTTACCCCAGTCTGTAAAATCTTACTGGAAGCCTGGAAGATTAATAACATTGCTGAACCACTGTAAGTCGCATTTCTCCTTTCCTGCACCGACTTTTCACCAACGCTGAAGTGTCACAGAACAAAGTAACCACAAGAGGCCACTGTAGGCCCAGTATCAAGTGCAATAATGAGGAAGAGAGACAAATGCATTCTGACAAAATATGAGATTAATGACATTAATCATGTCTTACAGAAAATGAATGGGAGACCAATTCCTATGTGACTGGCTGATTGCTTGATATATTTTTTTTTTCATTTCATTTTAAAACTGGGATATTCTATTTGAAATTCAATGTTTAAAGTTTTTTACCATGGACAAAAGATAAGTATAAGTGATTCCCCAGGGACAGTCTACTTTTGGGTGCTAAGTGCCAGTGTAGCCACCAGTTTAGTAAAAACAATACATCTGACCTACTGTACTCTTTGGTTGCTATCCCATTTCTGTCCTGTTTTTGTTAATGTTCTTATAGAACCAAAAGGTTCAACAAGGGCAATAATCTAATCCCTCCATCATTTTTAATTTCCCAGCCAAGGTAGGAACAGGGGTCATCACCATAGAGAAATGCTACCCCACCACACATTTCAGAGCAAACATTCTACCTCTCAGTGCCATCACATGTTGTTTTCAATCACCACAAGGGTCCTAGCCATTCATGACCCCATCCCAGAAATATTTTCGACTTGACCTCACAAAGTTCCCAGCTGTACCACCAGAGGAATGGTTGAACAGTTGTCGTTTCCTACCTCATTGATGACTGGAATATATTTGATATTTTCATTTTCGTCCTCTCTACATCAGGAAAGAAAATGCATTATTGAAATTTCAGTAACAAAGTTGTGAAAATGATGTATACTGTAAAGTTTGTTCAATACCATTAAACATTTTAACTTATTACTCGAAGACAGCGGTACAGGACATGGGCAGAGAATGTTTTATTGAGAAATCTCATTCTTACAGTACACGAAGAATTGGTCTGACCCTGCACATCAGGAGAATTAAATCGGGGTTCACATCACACTAACGGAAATTCAGTAACTAATAATTAAAGTAGCGGCTATTATCTGCAACGTATCAATGTGCTTACGCCTTGCTAACAGTATTGTTAAGGCTCCTACTGTAGTTTGTTGTAATGCAGAATATAACAAGGATTATAAAGACTGGTAAAATCCATACCATACCTGGGCTCTTCTAATTGGGTCACAAAGATGTTTCTCATTCTATTTTCCACTTTCAGCGTTAAACGGGGGTCATCCGGTTTTATAAAGGGAAGAGTTAGGATCTCCATTGTCGTTTCTGTAAACGTCTTCAGTGAATAAATAAGTGGGATGATGCCGAATGCACTGTGCTAAGAATAAGAATTAATCGTGTGTTACTTATTTACGTCGGTCTACTTTGCCTTTCTGCAATAAAGCTACAGAACTTCAAGGTTGAGCATAGTCTTACACTGGTGTTTTGCGTTGCTGAGAAACCATCACGAGCAAAGGAGGTATGCCAAGGGATCATTTCTCTTTTGTCATAGCAACCGCCCTGGAGCGTTTTATTTGAGGCGGGGTCAGACTCCGCGGTGCTACACAGAACTTAAAAAAACGTGCAACAAAAATGTCAACGTCTGTTAAACTCATGACTATACGTAATAAGACGTTTTCATGCAAGGTGTGATTTGACGATATATTCTATCAAGTAATTCAGAGCATTGTGTAAAATTAAATGTCTGGATTTAGAGGCAGATAAGATCCAATTTGTTGTAAAATGGACACTACTAGTTATATAAACTAGTTATTTTATGTTAACTCACATTTGCAATCACCTACTGCAAAACAAACGAAAAACGTAATTCCAAAGTTCACTTTGCGTTTTAGCATTATTCCGCCAGTAGTTGGCGCAGGTGACAGCACAAAAAGAAACCGGTATTACACACTGGTCTCGAGTGTTAACGTTTTATCACGGTGCACGCACTCTGGAATAGAACGTGTTATGATTTGGTATATATTTTGCAGGTAATATAATGTTTGCAATGGAAAATGAAAGTAATACAGTACATTCTGAGTAAACCTGAAATGTGTCAGGGTTGTTTGGTATAAATTGACTCAAAACTGCTTGGCTTCTCTTTGGGGCTCTTACAATGATTTCTTGAGATTTCTTTTGTAGAATTACTACACGTCTGTCGGTAAAAACGGCTAGGGAAGAAAGAGATAGGTGACAGCCGTACATACATAGTAGTTACTGTATTAAGTAATTATTCTATTTGCCCAACACCTAAGAGTTAACATTGCAATGGTAATATACAGCTAGATCCAAAAATATGAGTACACTACAGACAGCTGAAAGTTAGTTTTTGCAAAGAAATGCACTTTTTTTGTAGTTGTTGCATAAATACATTAAAACATAAATAATTGTAAGAGCATTGGATGTTACCAAGATGCATATGTCTAAATTAACTGCGTATTCTCTTGGTTAATGGTAATGAATAATGTAATATTTACATCCTGTCACATAATACATTTGGTAAATATAATGTTAAAAAATGTTGTTATTCATTTGGCATATTCACAAAGTCCAGAAAGTTAATGGAAGCTTCTGAAAGCCATCTTATTTACCACTGGGTTTTTCAAAGGTTTTGAATACAGAATTACAAGTTATAACCCCATCATCATGGAGAATATCAGATCTAAAGTAAAGGCTACAACCTCAAACTAAGCTACTGTACCGACATTTGTAAATACAGTACATTCAAGAGACATCCATGGTTCATCTATGTTGTCATCTCAAGACTACTGGACTGCTTGCTACCCCACTAGGTAGAGCACGTACATGTAATAAAGTTTTGTGGGGTCAGAAAAGTATTTGGGATGTTATCTCAGACTCTGATAAAACAACTGTGAATCTTTAAAGACTCTCATTCAGTTTGGAGAAAATATTTTTAAGTCTTCCATGTGAAAAACCATTGAGGATGACTTAATACATTTGGTGTCTACATGTCAATATACTGTACAAAGGACAAGGATTGGCCAAATCAAAGTTAATAGACTCCCAGGTGTAAAAGGACCAAATAATGTAACGTAGCTATTTTAAATTGAAATACAATTTAAATAGCCATTTTTTAAACCGAGGAGCAAATGGATACCTAGTTTCTTTTCTGTAGAAGGACTAAAGAAACTTCAATCCAATCAAACATTTGTGTGATAGGTAAAATATGCTCTGTGTGAACTAGAGAAAGCAGGGTCACCATTACAAGGTATATACTGTAATCCCAAAGAATATAATTTATTTGGTGTATATACAATTTTGCATATTTCCAGATCTGTAATTGTAGCACCAAAACAAAAAATTGGCCATGGAGTTTACATTTGAGAGTCCTCTTGTAAATCTCTTTTTACAAACAAATAACATTTTGAATTACTTAACCAGTCCTTGCACTGGCTTCCTGTCAAATTCTGTGTGGACTTTAAAATCCTAATGCTCACCTATAAAGCTCTGTATGGCTTCATGGCTTTAATCGCCCTATTCCCCACCTCGCAACCTTCGCTCTTCTAATTCTGGTCTCCTAACTTTCCCCCAAGCCTGTCTACATTGTATGGGTGACAGGGCCTTCTCCTGTTATGCCCCCAAGCTCTGGAAGTCTCTCCCAAGGATATCAGCGATTTACCTTCTATAAACTCCTTCAAATCCAGACTCAAAACCTTCTGCTTTAGAAGAGCCTTTACTTCACTGGTTCCATTCTTCACCCCTCTGCTTTTCTTAGTACCACCATCCACGGTCTCCTCTGTATATTGTTATTGTGTTTTTATCATGTGTATTCTTCTTATTTTTTGTTGTTGTCATTCTGTAAAGTGCTTTGAGAAGCCACCTTTAAAGGCGCTATAAAAATAAAGTTTATTATTATATTATTATTACTTCACATTTGCAGGAAAACATCCAAATGTATGCAATAATTTAATGACGTTAATTCAGCTAATATGTGATTGAACATATCCAGAAGTTTGATTTGTTTATGTTTTGCATGTTTAAAGGAGGTGCAGTGGTTAGCATTGCTAACTTGCAACACTGAGGCCCTGGGTTCAGTTCTGAACCTGGGGTACTATCTGCATGGAGTTTGTACGTTCTCTCCATGTTCCCATGTGTTCTACCAGGTGTTTTTGTTTCCACCCACAGTCCAAAAACATACTGGTAGGTTAATAGGAAAATTGGCCCTAAGTGTGAGTGTCTGCCCTGCTATGAACTGGCACCCTGTCCAGGGCGTACCCTAATTTGTATCTCTTACTTGCCACGATAGGCTCTGTCTCCCCCGTGACCCTGCATTAGAAGAAGAATTGGTTAGGAAATGAATGTATGTTGAAAGAAAAAAAATACTTTTTTACGCCGTGTCCTTATTTTTTATTGCACCATCCACATAATGCATTAGCAACCTTACAATATTTTGGCTCTAATATTATTTATTCATATTCCTTAAAAACAGTTGAGCAAGTGGGTAAATATTAAAAATAAACTAAGATAAGACAGGTTTATAAAGTCTTCAGACTTCATACCTCTATAACAAACTCCACCCTCATCACATCATTTATTTAATTTCTCTACTTTTTTTATCTCTTGAGCACATACAGTATCAGGTGTTAAATGCAAAATAGTTAGTAGAACCGGATTTTTCTATAGAACTACTTTGATGTTCAGCAAACATTTCCAGTTCCTTTATAATATAAATGTTAGTAGACTTTCCCTGATTTAAATTTTTCTTATTTGTTTTGAGAACTTCCTAAGCTTTGATTACACAGGAGTGTTCTACAAAAAGTCAATGCGCTTCTTAATGATTTTGCAATATGACACAAAATGACATAGCCCCCTGTCAGGTGCTCAGCACTTCAGAGGGGGATCTAAAATTAGTTTCTCATTACTCATGCTAAAAGCTGTTTAGCAACAGAAACCTGTAAGATAAACTAATGTGAAATGAGGACACAGAGGCCCACGTGCCAGGCTAAAATATGCAGTATACGTTAACCGTACATACTCTGCAGAATGTAAATGTATATATACTGTACATTCATATACTGTACAGTATATGGAATGGATATATAGTATTTATGTATTCATTATAAGATAGAGAGATAGTAGTCATGGATCTGTGGCACTGATGAAAAACATTTGGAATCCAGCATCAAGCTGTGAAAGTTGTTATATCATTTCATTGTGTCTTTTGGTGAATTTACAAAATGCAAGGTAAATAGCAGACTGTGGTGTGCAGTATTTCCTCATTTGTACGTTTTTTTTCACTGTATAGCTATTGAGGATCAGTGAAAAACACCCACAAATAAGTAGTAGAGATAGACTAAAACTAATCACTCTTTTTAAGTTTTATAGTATGTTGTAAAAATAGTCTGAGAATGATCACAAATACAGGAAAGGAGTCTTGGAAAAAATAGGATTTAACATGCTTTTAATAACTCTCAGTATATATTTCAAATGACAATTTCTTACTATAATCTGAAGGCAAATGCTAATGTCATGTTTTCTATTGATGAGAAGTTTAGGTGTTTTGCAAATGAACAATCAAACCAATAGTGTTGTCTGCTAGCAAATAAACAAACCACAAGAAAATTAAATCTGCATTATTTGTACATTGGTGTTTATGTAGTGTTTATCCCACATTATCAGAATACTGTACATTTCTGTTGGCCTGTGATATACTGCATACAGTAGTGTTGACCTCCTGTCCTGTCCTGGTCCTGTGTAGCCCCAGTTCTTCAAGGTTTCATAAATATCTCTGATTACTGTCTAAATTATATACATTTAATGAATACCTGGCTCAGTTCAGTAATTCAGATCTGATAAAAATACCTGCAACCTTGTTCATCTCAAGCTTGTATAACAAGTTTACATTTGTTTGACACTTTCTATTCCCTTACACACACAGTAGTGAGCCATTATAACTTAGGAAGAGACAACTAAGTTGACCTTGGCCCAATGTGACAGAAGTGCACTTTCTTCTACTTTATGATCTATTAAAAGGTTGAGGTATTTGTTATATTGTTTCAGCTCAAGGTTCCAGTATGTTGGAATGTCACTTCTGTGACATCTGATCTGTCCTTTGAAGCCTTGAATAATAGAACATAAAATATGTTCCTTTGCAAACCTCTGATACAAGATAGATAGATAATACTTTTTTAATCCCGTAGGGAAATTGATGAAAAAAAGTCATGGTTCCACAGTGGGATTTGATCACAGACCATGTGATATGGGAGTCAGGAACCTAACCCAAAGTGCCACCAGCAAGGTCACAATGATATAATATGATAATACATAATACAAAAAGCATTATGTTTACATTGGGTATATTTACCCTATTGAAACATACCACTTAGAACATCTGGCTTATATCTCTATTTAAATTAATTTGCACAGGGTCTTCAACTGGCATATTTGTAAGGTTTAGATTATCTGATATTGTAATGGTGTGGTTACTATTGCTGCTACTGATTCTACCTTAAATACTTCTGTTACTATAATTAGTGTCTATAGGCATGCATCTCTTAGTACTACTAATTCTGTTACTGTTGGTAATAATATTAGCATATCACTGAGATTTGAA